TGACTAAAAGTTGCAAGGTACTTACAGGAGGTGGGATCTGTGAGGAGATCCTCTCCAGGCCTGTATTTCCAAACTGGGAGATTTGCAGCACACAATGACAACTATCTCCAGCTCCCTGTGCTGGGCATTTCTACATACAATACCTTGAAATTCTACACCTAATTTGTGGCAGTGTCCTACTGCCCTACAGGTGGGGGGTCCCACAGGGTCCATCCTTGGTCAGGGTTCCCCTCCTCACTCCTGAGGGGTGAGGGATAACCCAGTCAAGTAGCAGACCAACAAACAAACCAATCCGACCACCCAGGAGAACCCTGCAAACCAAAATTGCTTCTGAGGTCTGAACCAATTTTACTTACCATAAATTATTGACGTCATCTACCCAGACTTGTGCAAAGCATTTGATCCTGTTTCCCGTGAAGATGATCAGAGCGATGAAGCACCTCTTCTATGAAAACAGGCTGAGTGAGTTGAGGTTATTCAGCCTGGAGAAGAGAAAGCTCCGGGAAGATGTTACAGCAGTGTTCCAGTACTTAAAGGGGCACAGCAAGAGAGCTGGAGAGGGACGTTTACAAGGGCATTTGGTGATAAGACAAGGAGTATGGCTTCAAACTGAAAGAGGGTTTAGATTAGATATTAGGAAAAAATTCTTTACTGTGAGGGTGGTGAGACACTGGAACAGGTTGTCCAGAGAAGATGCTCCATCCCAGAAGTGTTCAAGGCCAGGTTGGATGGGGCAACCTTGTCTAGCAGAAGAAGGGGGGTTGGAACTAGATGATCTTGAAGGTGGGAGATTTGCACCCCACTGAGTAAAAATTATTCAGTAGTTTAACAGGAATTAAGAGACCAGTGTAAGGAGTGTGTGACAGATAAGCTGCATTTGGGGAGTGGGGAGAAGTCACATGAGGGCAGATACTATTTATACTGTTCTGCTGCTTAAAGTTGATGCTAACAACGCTGATTTGGTGTTTTGATGATAACTTTACTCAGGACACTGAAACACTGCCTAAATGTTACCACGTCAAAAGCTACCAGTAATCACAGTTTATGAAAGGGCACTTTTTTAATGACTATTCTGGGACCCTACAGATAAAACCTCAAAATGTGCCCAGCGTTCTCATTTAAACAGCACAGTTAGTTTACAGTAGAGGTACAGTGGCAAAAAAATTGGAAGTACTTTTAGCAAATTTCACCTGTGAAGCAAGATCTACTAGGTTAAAGAGCTGAAATCCATAAAAGAGTGAAGGAAGTAATATCTACAATGAGATGTGACGCTAATTTCTTCTGTTTTGGTCTTTAGCTAGCAACCTCTGTAATGTTGTGAAGTGGTAGGAGGACCCCATGCTGCTGATGCAAATATATGGATCAAATATAAAAGTAAAATCTGGATGGTATTTTATACCAGGCAGGGATTAATGTTGTATTTTGCCAAATATTTCAGATGAAGTAATTATCTTCTTCATTTTTGCTTCTTCCATAGTTTCCTCCTATTGTAAGCAGGATGGTGGCAGCTGGTTAACCACACTCTGTTCCAGTGTTGACTTTGTCTAGTAGTGCCTGACATGATGGCTGTAGAGCCATATCTGAAGATTTTCTGGAACATTTTGCAATTGTCACATCTTCCTCCATGGCAATGAAGTTGTGAACAGTAACAGAGAAAGACTGCTAGCATTTTCAGCACTGCCTTATTAGTTCTGGCTTGGTTTAGACAACACACTGTGTGGTATTCCAGTAGGTGGTTTATATCAGTGTTGCTATAGCTGAAAAAGATACACTACCTCTAGAAAAAAAATACTACACACAAATAAAATATCCTTTGTGCACACCTTCTTTAAGATGAAAGCAAGCAAAGTTGAATTTAAAATGTCATTATAACACTAAAAAATGTTTACAAACCTTAAGACATCTAAAACAATTTTTTTTTATTGTGCGTCATATATATATATTCCCTTTTCCTTTCTTTATTACTAAGGGAATGAAGACATTTTCATGAAAACAAGAGCTTAGATTCTTAGAAGTTTGTTGATTCCTTCTTATATTTTCCTGTTCTGAAGGGATTGGAGCCTTCTGTACATGGTACTGTAATTGCTTCCAACCCAACGAGCTGTGATGAATAAGAAGCAGGAACTTTTAAACAAAGACCCTGTTTTCATGCAAATATTCTCAGTAATATAAGCATAGAGTAAAATAAATACATGAAGTTATGTTTTGCAGAACTGCTACTTAAAGCAAAGCAGCTTTGTAGAATGAAGCCGAGTCTGAATTTTTCTAACTGCAGGAAGGGAAAGTGAGTTTGAGTATTTTCCCAAGAGATTTCAAATATCTCAAAAGAAGATTGTTAAAAACAAAGACGGAATATATTCCAGTACTATTCTCATCAGCATCATCAACATCACTCTGTGTGACAGGATCCTAACCAGAACTATGGCACCATTCTCTCATGCCTTTATAAACTCAGAAACATACAGCCTCTTTCCCCCAAAGATTTAGCAATCTAGTATGTTCTCATAAGTCATCTCTGAGTCATTGCCTTGGTCTATCTCCCCCTAATTTTCCAAAGTAAGAAGTAACTGATCAAAACCTTCTGAAAAAATAAAGAATATTGACATTGGAAACAATAGACAATGTGTAGAAAACGTTTATATTGAACAGCAGTTAATAGTTTAGGCTTTGCTTCATGATAGCTCACTCAGTAGATAAATCATTGGCAACATTCATTTGCTTGCAGTTTTCATACATTAGTACCACCAAGTATCCAACTCTCTAGTTTCTGATCTTCTAAGCAGAAATACCTTGGAGTTATCTTTAAGAACAGCTTTCTAGAATGATCCTTTGCCAGTAATATTAGTGGGTGGAACAGTATTTTCCCCTCAGGGAAGCTGTGTCACAGCAGAGTCCTACCTCCCCAAATGCAGGTGACTGATTATTGAACCACTTAGGCGATTTTGTCATGTACATGAGACCAAAGGAAGAGAGCACAGACAAGTCCATGCAGTGTGTGAACACTGACTTCTGCATTCACAAGCATTAGGGTTGGCAGTGCTCATCGTTGCTGCCATCACGGTGCTGTAAAAGACTCAACAAGAGACTTCCACCGAAATTCTCTCCAGAAGAGAGGAAAAGTGCTACCAGGTACATAGTTTAAAGCAAGCCATTTGGAGTTGCAGTTTATTTCTCAACACATCTTCTCTCAGTTTAGGAAGATGATTTTCAGTCTGCACAGAAAAGGACTTTCCATCATAACTCATGGACATGGCAAGTCAGAAGTGTCAAAACAATTTTTTCGTAGTATGTCAGCGAACAAAAAAACCCAAGAGGCAGAAAATTCTTATCCTCAAAGACTACCCTTAGCCACCCAGTAACTCCACCCAGTAATATCGAGCACAGGGTTGAAATACGGTGCATATTTTCTAATCACTCCTCTTTGTCGGAAGTAAGATGATAGGTTTCAGTCAAAACCCTTCTCTCTTTTTTTAACAAGTTTTAAAAACTTGAAAATGTCTTCTCAGCTTTTTCCACAGACTCGGTTCTATGTCAATGCAAGACTGTAATTTCATCTAGAAACACTGGTAACTTTAATGAGAGACATCAGGCCCCATTCTGCCTGTCTTCACTTTCTATTGCCAGTGGACTTGTTAGAGCTGATAATTCAAAAAATACAATATTTGTAACTTATTCATGATTTATTTTAAACCTCTTTCACAGCTTGATGCACATGAGGCAATTCAAATCACCAAAACTCTGTTTTGCAGCTAACACTTCATTCCACTGAATGGAAAAGTTCACACATCTGTCGGTGGTGTATTGTTTCGGGTTGGCTGCAGAGCAAACAAGCCAGCAAGGCACAGATTTGCTGTCTCCAAACCAGAGGAGAAAAACTTTCATTTTCTGGCAAAGACAAGTGAGTTCTGCAGCATGCAGAACAGCTTCAGCCCATGGCATCGAAGGACCAACACAGTCCCCCTCCTGAAGGATGCTAGGGGAGTTTCTTCAGGTTTGGCTGAGTAATGGGGTGTCATTAGAACTTTTAACAGGAGGAGGGTCTGTGCAAGCCCTTTTCATTGCAAGGAGATTCCAAGCTGTGTTATTAAATCCTGTTAATTCTGATACAAAAAAACCCCCCAAAACCAAACACCAAAACCAGAACCAGAACGGTGAACTTAATCCCATGTAATTTTTTGTATTTAAATATAATCTTATAGTACTAATTTACAAATGGAGATTAAAAATCTGCATTCTAGATTCACTATATAAATTCTGCTGAAATTACTATACACATATATATGTAATTTATATATGTTTATATATATATATACATAACGAGTATAGGTTATGCAAATACATTCTACAGTGTATATTTATATAAAAGTGAAATCATGTACCATGCAATTGACCTTCTTTAGATCACAAATTCTTTATGGGAAGCATCATTTTTGTGTCCTGTGCTGATCCATTGCCTGGCGGGGTGGAGTACCAGGACGCTCCTAGGACTTCTAGCCAAATGATTAATGGAAGCAGTAATAAAACATCCATACCTTTCATCAACATGAATCAAAAATCTTAACTATAAAACAAAGAAAAAAATCCAGATGAGTTAAATATTACTCGAGTTTCTACTCTCCATCCCCACTTCACACAACAGGTGTTTTTCATCCATGTTTGTTTCACAAGGGCATGTCGTGGTAGCACAAGGGGGAATGGCCTTAAGCTGAAGGAGGGTAGCTTTAGATTAGATATTAGGAAGAAATTCTTTACTGTAAGGCTAGTGAGGCACTGGATCAGGTGGCCCAGAGAAGTTGTGGACTCCCCACCACTGGAGGTGTTCAAGGCTGAGTTGGATGAGGCTCTGAGCAACCTGGTCTAGTGGAAGGTGTTCCTGCCCATGGCAGGGGAGTTGGAACTAGATGATCCTGAAGGTCCCTTCCAAACCAAATCATTCTAGAATTCTATGATTCTCTCTCCTGTCACTAATCAGTTTGAAAAAATAATTAATATTTCTGGGGTTTTTTTAAAGCATAGTCCAAACTTGATTGAATTTTAGGAATTTGTCTCTGCTGGGAAGGCATAGGGCTCGTTACATGATCCAAAGTAATACTCCCATCTACAGAATTATTTTCTGATATACTAAACCACTCCTGCTTATTTCAAACATTTCACTCAACCATGCTATAACTGTCTGGATTGTAACTCCTGTCTCTGACACATCTTCCTTTCCCCTCCTTGCTCTGTGTGCATACTTTGGATTCAGGCATAGCACAGTATCAGTGTGATACAGAAGTTACTGAGACCCTCAGCAGGAGGCTGGGTTGAGAACAATTATCTGACAGAATTGTTTAGCAGTGCAGCCCAATCTATGTTATGACCCTTTTTCTAAATGTAGATCTAATGGCACATTAAAGTAATGTTACATCTCATAAAGCCTGCTGGGTAAGGGTTCAGTGAGGTTCCCCTTGCTTCCCTTCTGCACAGCAGTTCCTTTGTTACTGCTTCTCCTCCAGATCCTGTGATGGAACGGGAGTCCCGAGCTCCTCTAACACTAAAACGGGGCTGCCAAGATAATTTACGGGCCCTGTGGCCAACAAAAAGTCTCAGGCCTCCTTGGGTTATCTCTAAGTCCTACTTTTCTCTGCCCATTGTGCCAGCTTGTCCTCTCAGATTTTACAGATGCCGGGAAAGGTCTTGGCACAGACATCCTTCAGCACGCTGCTTTTAAACAACAGTCCTATCCTGGCCTTACCTGTGTTTGCAGTGGTGTTTCTAGACAGAAAGCAGAAAAGCAAACACGGGACTGGAGGTAAAAAGGAGATGGGAGGTGGGAAAGGGGGGGAGAGGAGAGAGGAGAGGACAGGTACATGCGAACTGGGACAGGTGGGGAGATGGAGGCCGGGGTTAAGATGCTCATGCACAGGGCCAGCCCGATGCACCACCATGTCCTGGCTGGGGCATGCGATGAATGGCTTCTGGCACTCTGAGAACCTTCCCCTTTTACACTAGAAATCTAGGCTCGGTATAAACAGTTTTGCTGGCACCACAGCCCATTGCATCCTTTTCCTGCAGGATCCAAGGTGGTGAAAGTGGAGGGTGCTTGCCACTGCCCAAGCCTGGGCAGGAAAAACACACAGCTGTCTTTGCACGGGGCCCTTCCAGGTCCCGAGTGGCTGGATACCCAGGCACAGGTGGGACTTCTGCAGAAGACACCCGAACTACAGCACGCGAGGTCCGCGGCCTCCTTCGTGTCAGCGCACTGAAGGCGAAAAGGGCACGTGGTTGGGCTGCGGTGGATTTTGGGCTCCCCTCCCACCCAATGACCGCCGCAGCGCGGGGTGCGGTGCCGAGCTCCCGCCCGCGGAGCCCAAGGCGCGGCTGCTCCGCGGAGGCGGGCTATGCGGAGGGTCCCGCAATTGGGCAGGAGATGCGGGGAGCGCTGGAGGGGGGCGCTCGGGGGATCGCGGCCCCTCCGCTCCGCCGGGCGGGGGCCGAGCCGCGGGGGAGGCGGCGGAGGGGCTTCGCTCTCCGTTTCCGAGGGAAAGCCCGGCCCGGCGGCGGCCACGTGTCCCGCAGGGACCCCACCGGGCCCGCCGCGGCCCCGCCGGCCAGTGCGGCGCAAAGTGCGTGGTACCGCCGCTCCTCCTGCGCTCCGCCGGCAGCGCGGGGGAAGAGGCTGCCGACGGGGATGGCCGGCGGGGGCGCGGAGGCCGTCAGCCCCCCGCCGCGGCCCTGCGCGCGTTTCTTGCTCCAATAAGCAATAATTAGGTCCTCAGCTAATGAAGTGTCAGCTGATCCACTCGCTCCGTCTGCGCGCGGAGAGGCGGGAGGGGGGGGGGGACTGCGCCCCGAGACATCGCCATGGAAACGCTGCCCTCGCCTCTCTTTCCCCCCGCGTATCCCCCCCTCCCCGTCCCCGGCGGCCCGGGCAGGGTGCGCGGCCGCGGAGGCGGGAGCATCCCGACATGGGACAGCGCTGCCCGTCACGGCGCCGCGCCGCCGTCGCCACAGAAACTTTTGTCCCGGCGGCCAATCAGGGCGCGGGGGGGGCGCGGAGCGGCGCTGGGCCCGGCCCGGTGCGCCGCCGCCGCCGCCAGCCCGCCGCGGAGCGCAGCGCGGAGCGGAGCGCCTGAGCCCAGCCCAGCCCAGCCGAGCGGCGGCCCCGGCGCATCCCCAGCCGTGCGCGGGCCGGACGCGCTCCCCGGCCGCGGAGGTGCCGCACGGCTGCGGGCGGGGGCGCGGAGCCGGGCACTGGATGGCGGAGGCGCGGGCGGGCGCGGCCGCGGAGAGGCGACGAGAGGAAGCGCCACGGCGGAGCCTTTCCCCCCGAACGGAGGGGGTGTCCTGCTTGACGCGGCGGGGGAGACCGGGGAGAGCGCGGAGATCTCCGGCGTGAACTGAAACTGTGGCAAAGGGAGGGGAAAAAAAAATCAGGATTGCTTTTTTTTTTTCTTCCTTCTTCCCCCTTTAAAAAAAGGGGGGTTTTGCTCAGCATCCGCACGCAAACTTACTTGAATGCCTTGTAGCCAGTTTAGCCCAGAGACCAAAGGATACCCCGCACCCGAGGAGTCCTACATGTGTGAGCACCATCATTACACTGGCAGAGCAACGAGAGCCGCCTCCTTTCCTGTACCAACATCCTCCTGGGACTGATCTCTCCTTTGGTCCAATATCTGAGCCTATCTTGTATATATCTGGCCTTTTCTTTCTTTCCTTTTTTTTTTTTTTTCCTTGTCCCTCCATCGGCTGGGATTGCTAAGTAAATAAATAGAGGAAAATTCCTAAAAGGGCATATTAAAATTCAGTGGGACTCAATATGAGGAAGTGAATGGTCACAGACCATTTTTTTAAATTAAAAAATATGTACTTTAAACGCGGATCGGATGCATTAGGCTTAGAAAATAGCAGGTAAGAACTTTCTTTCCAGTACCTTCATGCCCGGAGCGGGGATATCTGATGCAAAGCCGCCCAGCCTTGGAATAAAGGGGGAGCAAAGAGACCAGTGTGCCCTTCAGTGCTTTCTCCATCCTGCGCGGCGCGGCGGCTTTGGGAAGAGGCACAGCCCGCCAGGACAGAGACAGAAAACCCAGAAAGCCTTCGGAGAAGACAGCCGAGGGCTGCCGGGGTGGAGGAGGGTGGGCTTTTCCTCTTCTTTCCCCCTCCTTTTTTTTCTTTTTTCTTTTCTTCACCTGCACTATCCAGGGTGAATCCGGGTGCAGTTGATGTATGGAAAAGAAGAAGGATCCGAGTCAGTATTTTCTTTTCGCTAAGCCGAGGGATAGGATTTTAATTATTTATCCAACCGAACCCTCTCCGGGTAAGACGCTGCTGGAGCCAGTGGGATAGTCCTGCCTTGCACAATTATTAAAGAGACTGATCACGTACCGTGGAAGGATAAGAGGAGCCTCCACCAGACCCGTTTTGCATCCTGTGAAAAAAAAAAATGAAGGAGAACATTGCCACACTATTGAATTGATTGCTGCCCCCCCATCCCCCGCCCGGCCCCCCACCCCCCCGAACCACCACCACCACCACAACAACAACAAAAAAAAAAAAAAAAAAAAAAAAAAAAAAAAAAGGAAAAAAAAAAAAGAAAAATCCACTGGGATCTGCCTGCACCGGGACCTCCTTCGCTCCGGCTCGGAGGTGGATGCATTTTTCATGAGCGCTGGGTGAACAGGTGCAAAGTGCGGCGGGGCGGCCCGGCCCCGCACCCCGGCCCGTTTCGTGTGCGTGTCCGTGTGTCTGTCCGTGTGTGTGTGTGTGTGCGTGTGTGTGCGCCCCGGCGTGTGCATGTGTGCGTGTGTGTACTAGGAGATTATGGAGAGCAGCGACCGGGACATGTACCGCCAGTTTCAAGACTGGTGTCTCAGGACTTACGGGGACTCTGGAAAAACCAAGACGGTGACCCGTAAAAAATACGACCGGATCGTCCAGCTCCTGAACGGCTCCGAGTCGAGCTCCACGGATAATGCCAAATTCAAATTCTGGGTCAAATCTAAAGGCTTCCAGCTCGGCAACTCGGACGAGGTCAGTGGTGGTGCTGGAGGAGGGAAGCAAGTGCTGTACGTGCCAGTCAAAACCACGGTTAGTAGAGAATTGTCTTCCTTGTTCTATGTCGGCCGCTGCAGCCCGCTCCGGGAGCGAGAGGCGCAGGGGGAGCCACAGCCACAGTTGGCTCCTTCCTCCCTCTTCCCCCAAGTCATCATCACCATGTTGCGTTTGCCTGTCACATTATACACCGCCGAGGTCTTTGTGGGTCCTTTCATTTAAAGCGATCGCGCGCACAACGCACCCCGCCGGGTCGGTGTCGTTCTTCCCCTCGTCCTCCTCATCCTCCTTGTCCCCCCCGTTCCCCCGGGCCGCCGCGGCGCGGTTTGGGTGGGCTATTGTCCCGCCGCCGCCGCCGCTCCGGCCATTGTGCCGGGCCCTGCCGCCCCGGGCAGCGGCCCCCGCCGCCGGCGGGGCTGATGGATGGCGCACGGGGGTACCCTGCCTGGCACAAAGCCAGGCGCGGCGCCGGGCGGTGGTTCCCCGGGATATCGGTTGGGGGTTATAATTTATTTATTTATTTATTTTTATTTTTTTTTTTTTTTATTGTTATCCCGCAGCCCTGGAGCCGCCGCCGAGCGGCCACGAATGTGCCCGGCTTGGCTGTGAAGGGTCGGCTGCGCTCGTAGGGGCGGCGGGGGGGAGAGAGGATGCTCAACAAAGGGAGAACGGGGTTCCGCATGACCGAGGGAAGGGTGTATTTTGTGACTCTTTTTGGGGTCGCGGGAGCCCCTCAGCACTCCGTTCAATGCGCTAGGGTAGCGTGGCATCCCCGGCAGGCGCTGGCGCCGCGGACCCGGTGCAGGTCTGACAGCGGGAGAGCTATTATGCTTGGTGGTGGCAGGAGCGACAGATTTTCCTATTTAAGAAGATGGGGGCTGTTGGTTGCAAGTAGGTTTTGCCTATTGAACTCTCTTAATGTATCATTATTCTTACTTCTTATGTGCTGGGTCACGCAAACTAAGCTTCTTTTGTCTGTGCGTGGGGCGGGTGTGGAGGGGGAGCCGAGAAAGGAAACCCAGCAATTAAAAATATTTCTGCCTGGGCATTTGGTTTGGATGAGCAATATTCTCTTTTTTTTTTTTTCTTTCTTTTCCTGGAGTGGCAGCTTATCCGGACCTAACGGGAATGTTGCTAAGTGGCGCAGCAAAGGGGGCTTCTTGGAAAGTATTCTGGGTTGGGTTGTGACGTAGGCTGCTGGGGAAATCTGCCTCTCTTTGCCTTGCTGAAGTCATAAACCTGGGCATTCCCAGAGGCTGGCTTCTATTTGCCCCCTTGTCATCAGCGCTGTCGTGGCTGTGAGGAGGCAGAGATGGGAAATTAATTTTAAGGAGTTTACAAATCTGAAGATTGAAAATGAAAAAGAAGCTCTGGACAGAGTTTCTTCCTTCTCTATGGTTTTTATTCACTGATCTATTCCAGGTCTGCCTGTAGATTCAGGTTATTTGGCAGATGTCTGTTATAGTGTTAGATGACTGCTAATTTCTGAGGCCAGAGGGTAATGTAGATACAATTTATAACAAAAACGTTGTCTAAAGCAAAAGTGTCCAATTAGGTCGGTATTTTTAAATATCTCTTCTGCTCACTGAAATAATTATTTTAGTGAGCCAGTGAGCAAGACTATTTATTTCCAAGACTATCCTTTTCACTGCAAGTTCAAAACTGTAAGCAAATTCAGTATTTTTTAAAATTACATTGACTTTGCTACTAAAAAAAAGAGGCTAACCTTTATTTTACAAGATGAAATTTAAAAATTAAGTGCTATTTTGGGCATCTGAAACACAAGATTCAGTGATGATCAGCTTGTCTATTTTCTCTCACCTTTGCTAGGCCATGAAAGCCTGGAGTCCCACCTTGCCTCCTGTTTTCTATTTTAAGAACACAAAATCAATTTTTATTTTATTTTTTCCCCACTAGGGATTTCAGTCAGAGGTCGAGCATCTTGCTGGGCTCACCTTTGTGCATTTGGAGAGTCAAACCCTCGGCTGTGAATGACTCTTTATGTCCCTTTATATGTATTTATATTAAAAAAGAAGATAGCTTAAGCAACCAAGCAGGCATTCTAATAAAATAAGGATGTCTGCTAATGAAATCAAGAAAGGAAAGTTAGCATGACCTATCTGCAAGCAGTTCCTGAATATCTGTATATTACTTGAACAATGACATATAAACCTTTACAGAAGAGATCTTGCGTGTAGGTACAATTTCTTCCTGCTGGCAAATGTAAATCTGCTGTCCAACACAAATGAGAAAAGGTGTTGCTTGGCACTCCCATAAAACATTCTGAGAAACAAATGCCACCCTCTCCTAAACCCCTGAATCTGGTGTCACTATCCCATCACAAAAGGCAGAGGAGTATTTAAGCAGACGCGCAGGGTGGCAATGGTTTGTATGGGCTATTTCCAGAGCTGGGGCAGCACCTGCAGGGCACTGAAAGCTCAGAAAGAACCTCTGTGACAAAACAGGGATGCAGCCCCTGGCCCAAAGGAAGCCAGTGGCAAAGCTCCTATTGACTCAAGAGGCCTAGAATTTCACCCAGCTGGGAATGATAAGTTACTGGGGGAAAAAAATGGATTTTCATCAGACAGTAATTGTTGGTAAGCCTTAAAAGCCCATTCTCTCATTTCTTTAACTGTTACTAATTATTTAAGAGTTTATTAATTTATGACCATTTAGAAACATCCCCACTGTGTTTTGTTTTTCCCTCATCTCTCATTATTATCCCGTACATTTGAGCCTGTCCAGTCAGCAGAGAGAGCCCAAAACGCTAACAAAGCCCCAAACTGTGAATCTCTCCCTCATTCTCTCCCCCTTCTTGTCCATCACTTGATCTCACCATAGGTAAAAGCAATTTCAATTTAAAATTAATCACTGTTGGCAGCATGAGCACTCCCTGTGCAGTAACAGGATGGATGAAATTACAAGTTGGACTCTACAGTCACAAGCTGGTCAAAAATAAGCAAATATTCAAATACTTCGTTAGGAATTATTCTCTCCTTGAAGCTTTAAGATTTGCTGCTCAGCTTTGCTGTCAGCCAGAGAGATTTGCTCCTGATGGTGCTGTAATCCACTGCTGCTGGTAATTAGACATCATTACTGCTGCGTTAAAGGGAAAGAGAGAAGGAGAGAGGACAGGCTGGGGCTAATTAACTACTTGATTCTAATGAAAGAAAGAGAGCCTGATAGCAACTGGGAGGTTGCACCGGAACAGGCTAGATGTACAACACAGACTTAATTGAAGCAGGGGTGTCTTGCAGTCTCACAGAGGCTGAGGCTCGGTCTACTTTCATATTCTGTGGGCAGTAGCGCACAAGGTATTATTCTATTTTTCCCTTGCCTGGTTGATAAGTAGCTCAAAATCACAGGCCTGTTTTCAGTATCAGGTTTAAGCATGCCAGCAAGAAGGCTGCATAGATGATTATGTGCTGGCTTAATCTATTTTACGGGTATGGTCTCCTCAAGAGCAACAGGAACAAATCAATTTCTGAATGTTCACATCCCTCTGTGGCCTAGGAGATGCACTTTTGGTCACCAGGCAACAACATTCCCTGCAAAACAGCCATTTTAGGTCCTGAGTGGGACAACACACAGTAAGGTATTCCTATAGGCTTAAGGTATTCCTATAGGCAACCCAGCAAGTATTTCACTTTGCAACTTTTCAGATTGCTCCTGTTACCACTGTAGATTTTCTTGCATTAAGCCCAAGCTGCAAGCAGTGGAATTATGCCTAGCCTAGACACGCTGTATAAACAAAACAGGTTAGGCCAACAAGTATGCCAAATGGTTGATAGTATTGACTTCTAGTGGTTGGTACTCATCAACCATAAGGAGGCACGGAACTAGTATTTCTAGTATGATAATCTTTCTAATGGTATACATGATTTTTATGGTATATTTTTTAATTTATTTTTTGCATAGTTTTTTAGCTAGAACCGTTTATTGATTGGCAACTTGAAAACAAATTTCTTTCCACCACTCTTCTTTCTCTGGCTTGATGTTGCCTGTAAACATAAACATGGACCCTAAAAATCAGTCGTGATTTAAAAAGAAGTTATAAAATAATGGCCTGAGCTGGTATCAGCAGATTTTAAGCAGAACTTTCCTTTAAAAGAGAAGGGCCAAGATGACTGCAGGCTACCTCTCAAATATAGAATTTATACAATGTTAGCAAACTAATAGAACTTAACCTCAAAGGCCGAGTTCAGATTACTTTTATGTCATTACTAATTTGGAATGACTGCACTGACTTTAATGATATCACAGACCTAATGTATGATTTTTTCCTGTGTTTTCTTTTATATTTTCCAACTACAAGGAGAGAATGAACTTTCATTCTGACACCAAATTTTGTTCAGTTTAGTTAAATCCTTAGATCCTGCAGGAGGATCTGGTACCTCATGGGTTGCTGCTAGCAGACCAGCAAGGCTCCCTGCAGGTGCAGGGCTGTACTACTGAACCTGATTACAGGATTTAGGGCTTAAAATTACAGGCCAGTCAGCTCAAAGGAACAGGCTGTATCCCAGCCCACCTCTTCTGTTGGACTTGAAGAATAGTAGATAGACATATGAGTTTATGTTCTTTTCGGTTTTATATAAATCACTTTGTTCATGAATAATAGAAAAAACAGATCACCATATAAATAGCTTATATGTCAAAATGTATTGCTTTAAATTATCTTATGTTTTATATTGTTTATTATTTTAGGGCATTTCATAACAATCTGAAAATAAGCATTTTTTTTGCATTTCTCCCCATTTTTGTAGTCATGAATATTAAAAAAAATGTACAAAAGTCTTTGTCAAATATATATTGGTAGCTCTATAGCCTGCTGAACTGCCAGCACATAATGGCAGTAAATACTGCAGAAAGGTGATGCTGAGGGTGAGCTGTAATTTATCTCAAGGTACAATTCTGCAGGAGTTTAGTGTCCCATTAAATGCACCTTCCAGGCTCAGGAGCAGTATTCGAACCCTGTCCGGTTTTAACTGCCCACCACATTTTCCTTAACCTCTGCTCAGGTCTGCAGAGCTTTGTCTCCTCCCTTTACCTGCAGCCTCTGCCCTGCTGTTTGCAGACCTCCCGATGGACTCTGTGAGGAGGAATGCTGGTGAATCACACAGGCAGTGCTGGAAAATGGTCATAGCAGATGGAACAAAACTGGTTTAGTTGGCAACTCTTAATGCAGACATTCACTGAAGTGTTCATGAATAAAGAGAATAACTCTGTCCTGGAATTTAAAAATGTTAAAGCGGCCATATGTAAGATGCCATTTCCACACACATTTGTGAGAGAGGCATTAGGAGAGGAGGAGCTGAGATTTCTTAATAACAATGTTCAGTTAGAATTTTCAAAGAAACATAAGCCAAAGAGAGCAGATTTTTAAAACCCGA